CCGGCGCTGTGGCTCCTTTCCCGCTCATTGCTGAGGAGCTAACGGCGACGCCAGGCCGGGCTCGTGTGGTAAAGATGTTGGACATGGAGGGAGCGCCTGCTTCTCCTGCTGGTGTTGGGAGAAGTGATGCTTGTGGAGGCTCTCTCTGAGCCGGTGACTGACATTTCTGCGATAGTACCTGGGCACTACGAGTTGCTGCTCCCTGCCAGTCCTCAGGGCGCTTGGCCAGGTGAGAGAAGGGTGAGGGGAAAAGCTGGTGGTCAGTCCTGTCAAACCATGTTGGCCTTATTCTGTTAAGCTGCCTTGGGACTTGTGTGGAAATAAACATTCACAAGTTCTTCCTGATACTCTGGAAGAAACTAAAAGACTTTTTGAGAAATCCTGTTGTGAAGAAGTTGAGGAAAATTGAAATTGTTTTACGATGCGCTCCTGTCCTTGAAGGTTAGTTGGAGCTTGTACACCCTAATGAAACATGGAGAAGTTCGTGTAGATAGTGTATACCGTGTGCTTTATTTATACAACACACAGCTGCTTAAGAAATTAAATTAAGCTGCACAACTTAATGCCATGCCCATAGCTGGGAGGTACTACCCTCAGACCAGCTAGTGCACTCAGTATTAAAAGGAGTGCAATTATTTTCATTGTGTCTAGAAGAGTGACCAGAAACGTAGGAGTATACTAAACAAAAACTTCCTCATTGTAGCTATTAACCCTTTTTAGCCTCATATTAAGAGAAAAGTCAATACTTGCTGTAGAATGCAGAGCAGGTGTATCTGATCAAACTTCTCATAAGCATACACTTAGAGGTAGCTATTTTGCTTAATAAGTTCTATCATTAGAAATAAGGATGAACTCGAATTTGTTTTTATATTGCAAATATCAGTTAAGCATATGTGTGTTGGGTGAAGTACATTAGAGATTTGGGGGGGAAGCAATGACAATGCTTCCCCTTAAAGTCTTGTATCCATCGGTATTGCCTCATTTGAGCAAAAGGAACTGTGGATTGTAGGTTTGCCCAAAGCAAACGATTTCCGATTTTGTTGCAAAGTAATGTAATTGTGAAATTCCTGCCTAGGAAACAAAAGTCTCCTAGTCAAATTTATTAGGCTATCTTATTCACATTCTAATGTAATGATCTTATTTGTTAGTTTAGCAAAGCTCTACCACTCTCCTTTAATTGATGATCCACATCCCTTTCATTGATGATCTTATCTCAGGTATTAGAGGCTGAGTCTTTAAAGACTTTTCCTTATTTTTTAAGTATAGCTGCTGGCTACATCTGTCTTCTGCAGTATTTGGAGTTGTTAAATACTTTTGAGCTCTCATCTTTTCTTTTTTTTTTAAATAAATAATTATCAGATTACTTTTCAGTTTGTGGCCCTGTATGTAATCCAGAATTAAGTAAAATACTTTCTCAAACACTTGAAGAAGAAATATCCTAGTGATTATTGTAGCCAATCAATCAAACAAATCTGGTAACCTAGATCAAAATAACTGTGAATCAGGCGTTGATACCAGGCGTGGGCTAGAGTTTGACTTTCTGTGCTAGAAAGGTGCAAGACTTTTTAAAGCATCAGCATACTCAGGGAAGAAAGAGAGAACACACTCAGAAACTTAATATAGCTTTCATTCCAGCCAGTGACATCTCTAAAGAAATAAAATGGCATTCTCCAATTTCCTGAAACCTTTGACATGTAATTGTTAATATATTTCTATGCAATTTAGAAGCAGTAATGACATGCAGCTGATAATGAAGGTCAAACTCTATAACAGCACTTCTATGGTTAGGGCTTCTGTCTTATAGTTTAGTCTGCTTTTTCAGTGTGCATAGCTTAACTGAAAGAATCTGTCAGCTTATTGCAAGCCATTATTCTTTATCCCTCTCTCTTTTAAAGGCTTTAGTATCTAAACAAAATAGCCTAGAGATAGACAGAATTTTGTAATAGTGTTGTTTCCAGATTTTAGAGTGGTTTTTTTGTTTGATGGGGTTCTTTTTAGTTTTTCATACCTTTGCTTTTCAGTTTTACATCTCTTTGTAATTGAAAATTGAAGGACTGTTTAAAATAGTATTCTCTTCATTGCGATATATGTGGTATATCTATCCACTGAAAGATGATTATGTGAAAAATATCTACACTGGAAGTTGCATACAAGCAATATCTGGGGGAGGAAATCCAAATTCATAAAGAAGGATGATCTGTCCTACTTTTAATTCGAATACCGTTTGCATCATGAAAGCATTTTGGCAGTAGAGGGAGCTATGAGACGCTGAAGACCACAAAAACACAGGCTAAGATTCAGTTACAAAAATAACTGAAGGAAAAAATGTTTTTCTTTTTTATTCGTTTATGGCCAGCAAAAGGACAGTCAAGGAGAGCCAGGAAAACAGGGGAGTAAATTTTGCGAGGTATTTTAAAAACCCATTAAAATAATAATGTAAATGTACCTGTTCAGAAATAATATTTGAAATTGGACCTGTAACGGCATGTGAATAAGCACGTGGCAGAAGATTATGTAGCTGTTTGCCATCAGGGAATTTTGTGACGAAGTGCTGTGAGACTTTACAGATATGGCTGCATTCATATTTTGGGTTAGACCTCAGGGCTGTCCTCGGATCCACATGGTATTGTGACCTTTTAGCAAAGCCTTACATATAATCAGTCTCTTTCTAGCTGTGGCAGTAGAAACATGGGTGCAAAAAGCTCAGAAGCCAAAAAAAGAGCTCGGGGCATATTTTCTGAAGGACAAGAGTGCTGGCACCACACAGGTTTGTTCTGCGGATGTCTCAGAAAGGGTCCAGGGCTGGGAAGCAGGCTACCCTGTAGACATGGGGACAGGACTAGATGACCACCAAGAGGCATAATTAGAGGGACACAGCAGATCTTAACTAGTGCTGACTCTCGAGAGGCAGTTTTACTGCAACCCTTAGGAAATAGCCCAACTCAAGGGAGGTGAGGCTGGGTTGAAAATAGCACTTACAGACTGGACAACATGAGCAGAAAATGGTGCATATTTGTCACCCATCAGAAACACCAATGTTTGAAGTCAACATAGTCTGAAATCATTCTTTATCTTGTTAAAATACCTTCAATATTTTTATTCATGTCCTGAAAGAAACTCACTCAGAGCCTGCTAGTACTCTTCCTGTTGCAGAATGATTTGAACCCCTAATAAATTGGAACAACTCAAAATCTGCATGTTTAAAAGCATGGTCATACTTTTAGAAACAAATACTATGAAATTACTTCATGTGAGATATCTGTATATCATCAGTACATGCTTTATATTATTCCGATTGATATGAGCATGGTATCAGTGAGATATCATTTAAGTCCTCCAAGCGAGCTGTATTATCACACCATCTTTATATTTACATAGAATAGTCTTAGAGACTTGGGTGTTGTCAGGTTTCTTTTAGGTTTTGCCATCCTAATTACACAATATTCAATACACAGAGAAACTGTTTATCAAATATTATGGTAAGGAAACTGCCATTTGAGAAAGTGCAAAAAAAAAATTAAGTTCTGCTTATAGAAAATAGTTTCTGCAGCCTTTTACAGTATGACACTCAGGTAGGACTCGGTACAAATAACATTTTTGCATTTGTATCAAATTGTAATTGGATTTTGTTTATTCAAGGCAAAACAGTAAACATACGGAAGTAGCCCGTGTTTTCAACAGGGCTGAGTAATTGCAGCTTAAGAGGTGCTGTGAGGGCATAAAATGAAAAAAAAGCAGAGGATATGTAGAAAATTGGTCTTTTTTTCATTAGTTTTTGATTCTGGTGCTGTTCTGGATGAAGTGCTTAGCCCCTTTTGAAGACTCTCTTGGCTTCAACTCCTTCATATACGTAGGTCTGTTAAGAAATTAAGAAGAAAAATCAGTGGCTGCTATTACAAAGTTTTGTGTCACAGATGCTATTGAGAGATCATCAGTAGTGATTTAATTAATTGTGACTGGTGACCACGTGGGGCCTACCAGCCCTACCTGCAGGCTCTGAGGAAAGGAACGTAAGGAAAGCAGTCTGTTTTCAATAGGCGTAAGTTCTCTATGCAAACATTTGAACCACCACGGGACAGCTTTTGGGGGCTTCAGAAAAAACCCAAAGTGTTGAAGTGCCGTATTCCCAATACCACTGAAGGGCTGGACGGTATGTTTTTGATATCTCAAATCTCCATAAGGTTTTTTTTTTTATTTATTCTTTTAAGAAGCTGACTGGCTAGTGGAGAGGGTCTTAAAGCATTACAGTTCAGCTCAGTTTCTGGCTTTACTGCAGAGCTGTGAAACATTTCCCTTTTTTCTCAAACTTAGCCTTTTGTGCCATCATCCCCTGCCCCAACCCCAAACTTTGTTTTAAAAGGGCAGTTATCAGCCATTGACAGCATTAGCCTGTAGTAAGCTCCTGTGGTAAGGCTTTTACAAGGCAGACACTTTGAAAAGGGCCTTCAGTCAGGACACATCTATATAGCGTGTATATCTATCTATCTATCTATCTCTGTATATCTTCTGTATACAGCTTATATACAGCTGATACAGTTCACATGGGTAGAAAAATGTAAAAATCACGGATTGTGAGTTTTATTTTAAAGTTTTAAATTTTGATGGATTACTTGACTTGAGATTTTAAAGATAAATGAGGTTATTTGGCTTGAAGAAAAAATGTCCTACTTTCAGAACAGCTTTTAAATTTTTTTCAGTTTGTTATATTGTAAAGTTGTATGTAAGTGACTGCTTAACTCACCTGAACAAGTTCATCACCTACGATTTCTCTGTATGCTGTGAGTAGTTTTCCATTATCTTTTCTGGTAAATTTTCCTACAAGTTTATTTCCTTCCATGCTCCAAGAACCCTATAATGGGAAAAAAAACCCCAAATATTTTGCAATAGATATAACACTGATTTGATTTTGTGAGAAGAGATTAAAACAGTATAATAATGCTTTTTTGGACATTGATGGAAAGGCTGTAAAAATGAGATTTTAATAACACCACTAGTTTATTTAATTGCATAATAGTCAAGGTAAATTTTTTTAGTGCTCAGTACACCTTATTTTAATTAATTGTATCAACAGAGAAAAAGTAATTTCTTATAAATACCCACTCTGCACTCTAGGTGGTGTATTTGAGTATTATAAGAAGTAAAATTGGCATCACCTGGATTTCATTGTGTGAAAATTGCTACATATTCTGCTTTTTGGGAACTCTGTGGAACCCTGAGTTTCATGGTACAGTGTTGAACCATTAACAGTTAAGACTACCTTGTGTTTTGTATATAAGCTGCAAGCATTCCTGAACAGTCACACTTTAAAAGTAAAATTTAAATTAAAAACTAGGAAGACAAATCATTTATCTTGAAACTGTACTTCATAAAGTCATTATAATATAATAAATATATAATTATATAGAAAGTCTCTTACAGTAAGTTCAGTCCCATCAGCCAGACTGTACTCAAAATTGACTCCCAGAGTGAATTCAATATCTATGGTACGGAAGTTGCTTGATTCTTTGATAGTAAATTTGTCTCCATCTTGTTGAATAGTGATCTTCAGATTATCATGGGCTCCTAACTTTCTTTTCATCACATTAACACCTAGAAAAATCAATTAACATCAATCAGAAAAAAAAAAACAAACAACCTAGAGCATTATATTTGTCTCTTTTGAGTGACTTCTGTGTGGTTAAGTGAGTTTATTCCAGCATTCTGACCTGAATTTTTATTCTTCTTAATTTTTTATTGAGGCCATATTCACCAGTACAGATATAATAAAAACCACTATCCAACTGGAATGGTTATGTTTGTATACATATAATGCAGAGTTTCTACAAAATTTTAAGTATCAGGACGTTAAAATGACTTGAATCATGTGTGTCTATAAAACTGAAGAATGATGATTTCCTCACTGTATAATTTTTAAATTAGTTTAATGTTATCAAAATAATATTCCTGCTATAGAATTGTACTTAAAATTTATCATTCAAATTCTCTGAGCGAGCCTTTTCCTCAGGTCTAGACTTAGAGATTCTTTCCTATGCTGAAATAAATCTGCTGGAACTAGTTAAGTTGCTTAAGATTAACATAAAATCAGAACATTTCTCAGTATCTTTCTCCCCTCCCCATGGAATCTTTTGAAAATAAATGCGGTACACTATGCAAGCACAGAGCAGCACACAGCAAAAGGACAGGCTAGCCAGGAGGTAGTTCACAGACAGCTCAAGTTCGTATTCAGCCATAGTGGTATTATTCTTGTAGAAGGCATTGGAAAAGTAAGACTTACCCATCGCCTCCATGAACTTTTCATAATTTTCATTTCTGTCGATTTTCCAAGCACCATTGAATGCCATGTTTCTGTCTGTAGGAGGACTGTTCTGAAGAAACAGATCCTTGCAAAGAGAATTTATGTACTGGCTTATCTTGAAAGCAATTTACAGGATGATGTGGCTGACTAAAGCTCAACTGATGCACTGATCTTTTCAAGGAGAAGTTTACTGTAGTTTAATCAAATTTCCAATCGTGACCACACTGCTGAATCTCTCCGTTACTGCCCCCAAATCATGACAGTATCTTTATTGCTCATCTTAACAAAGAATTGCTAATCCATTCATTTTATTCACCATATTTGAGTTGTAGTAAAAATTGGATATCTAGTGAAAGCAATAATTAGACTAAGAAGATGTCTTGACATTTTCTCTCTGTTGTATCTTCATGCTTGTCTTTCTGCAACTGGAGAAAATATATGTACCCAACAAACCAGACACAAATCTCTACTCTGTCTGTTATAATTTGGTAGAGATCTGTTCTGCTCAACATAATAAGCACGGGGCAGAGGATTTCCTGAATGTCTGCAGGTTCTTTCAGAAAACTATTCACTTGCTTCTTGTCTAGTGCTGAGCTGTGAAAATTGGGATGATATTCTGTATTTATGTGCTCACTCTTTAGTATATAGTTTAAATTCTGAGCAGTTTCTACAAATTTTTTTCATTATAACGCATTCAGTGAATACTATGTGCATCTAACCCATTCCTACAACAGAAAAAGATGTGCAGCTAAGTGAATTTACCTGATGTGGTTGGTTTCCATAGGTCCCAGATTTTGTCTGTTCAATGATAATGCAGACCATGAGTCGTCTTCTTCCCCCACTCCCCTTCCTCTCCGATTGGTGCTACTTGAAACTGACCAAAACTATTGCCCCAGCCTTTTTCTTTACCAAGTTTAGGGTTATAATTATTCTGTTCACATGGATGGCATCAGCTTTGCTATCTGTTAGCTTCAAAATGTGAATGTAAATCCTGAACGCCAAATTGGATTTTGCTTAGCACACAGGTAATGGGTTGTGCTCTACTTACCAAATTTTAAGTGTCTCATGTTATCATAATCTTGTACACCTATGGATTGCAGCCTGGATCAAGAGGTTTTACTGAAGTATAACTATCATTTAGAACTTTGCTAGCAATACCAGAATAGTGTGGCTTTTCACTCCAGTCAGCTTCATTTTGAAATCGGTAGTAATCTGGCTAACAGACTGGAGAGGAACAATAGCTCAACAAGTATTTCTCACTTGATGAAAAGAAAAGAAAAAAGAATGTAGGTTCATATTGTTGCGAGTG